TTGTAGGTGGAAAGGGTCTTCGGGGTTAACAGGTGAGGATGGAACACGGAGTTGACATGACAGCATGGAAGAATAAGACAAAGTTATGATGTTGGAGATAGTTACTGATATTTAGGACTGGCGACTGATTTTCCGAACCTTGTTTGCAATTGTGTTATCTCCACCTTCTGGGAAAAGGCTCGCCCGATTCCGAGGCACACTTGCGGGGAACCACAGCAACTCTCAGTGGTCAAAACAAGATCACAACTTCCGTTTTGGGACCGAATGTGAACCCTGATATAGGAGCCTTGCCAATTAGAATAGATTTTGGGCCGCAATATAGTATAGAGCACCGACAGAGTTTCTTGAATCTCAAGCAGTACTGTGCCTTGAGAGTGTGGCCTATGGTTGGGGTCGACGTTCTCCGACCTCAAGGAGACTTCGTATCTTCCTTCGACAGCCGCCACTTAAACAAAAAGCTCAGCTCAAAGAGCTGCCTTAGGGTTTTAGGGTTTAGGGGTTTAGGGTTTAGGGTTTAGGGTTTAGGGTTTAGGGTTTACGAGTTTTCAGGAACCCCGCTTCTGCGCAGTACCGTCCCTTGAAATACCCTACGAACGCCTCGTTTTGACCAATACCTACAAGACCGCATTTTGTCGATCCTTCGAAAGGTCACAAAAAACTAAGATGGAAGGAGTTTAGACAGCTTGTCATTATTTCTCGAAGTACAGAGACGCTAGCCCTGCACCCTCACTGGACTCAGGAGGTTTGGGCTTGCAGTGAACCCGAAGACCGAAACTCAAATATCTAATGTTCCTCAAGTGACTACTTGGAGGGTCGGGGGACTTAGTATCTGGTTATTTTAGGGACTCATAAGTACAATAACCCCAATTAGGGTCCCTTTTGGGGTCTCATAAGTCGACACTCCAAGTAGAACCCTGACACGCGCAACCCCGTCAACACCAAGACGCGGACCCCTAAAACCCCTCAACGGGCTGAAGGCACACGAAGCGTCCAACCTAAACTCCTAAAACACCCACAACCCCGACCGACCCCCAAACCCCCTGAAAGGGCCAAAAGTAAATCCTTTTGTCTGCAGCAGGTGGCGTGGGTCAGTCATCTCTCGCATCAGGCGAGCGATGGGAAGGAAGCAAACAAACTTCGGAGTGCTCTTGAGAAGAAACCCATGGGGATGTACATCAGTTGTAGGGTTTAGGGTTGAGGCTGTTCTTGGAAAGAAATCACCCGGATTTATGAAATCCTAGGGGTTCCTAAGGGCTTTCTGTGGCTTCAATGAGACTTACAGGCTCGACAGTTTGGAGTTTCATGTCTGGGGTTGAGATTTGGGGTTTAGGGCTTCGCCGGTAATCTGGGAGGCAGAACAATGATTTGGGATACATGTTAGGGTATCAGTATATAGAGACAGCGCACTAAGGTATGTTGTTATTACTATTACTAGTATTATGCTGATTAGTAGTTGTTCCGACCTGTGCAAGTGTTAGGGTTCAGGGGTGCATGACCCTAAACCCCCAACCCCGAGCCCTAAACCGAACTCCAGGGCTACGGAACCTGTCCCCGGACCCCGTCTTCGAAACTCGACATCTTCACCGTGAGCTCTAAACTCCAGCTCGCTAGCCTAGGATTAGTTCGGGGTCTAATTCAGACTTTGGTTTAGTTTTTAGGGTTTAGGGTTTAGGGTTTAGGGTTTAGGGTTTAGGGTCTACGGTCCAGGGTTTAGGGTTGGCTACATGGATCCTGGGGCACACGATTTGCTGTAGTGGGAGTTAGGATTAGGGGGACCCTTGGGGATATAGACCCTCTCAATAAGGCACCTTTTAAGAGAGCCAGAAGTAGGGTTCAGAAGGGGTACCCTTTAAGGGGTCCCCCTAATGATACTACCCATGTAGCATTTCTGGAGTTTTCGGGCTCCAGGTTTCTAGGGCCGTTCTCGGGTGCTGCAGCTTCTCTAAACCCTTAAAGAAGGAATACAGCTCAAATCTTAAGAGGATCCGGTTTAGAGTCTAGGGTTCAGGGTTTAGGGCTTTAGGGTTTAGGGTTCTATGATTGATGGTATTTCCTTAATTCAGGTGTTTTGGAGTCTCCTAAACCCTAAACCCTATAGATCCCTTATAGACCCCTTAATGAACCCTAGGTATTTCCTTAATTCAGGCGTTTTGGAGTCGCTTTCGGGCTTCTTCTGCTCTGAGCGCCTCCATCTCGGCGGTGATCACTACATAATGGGGAGTCGACCCAGCGAAGGCAGGTCGCAATAGGGTTAGGTTCTTCTTATTATTGTTGCTGCTGTTTGGCGGTGCTTTACACTGGCAGAAGAGCAGAAGAAAGCAAGGAAAAACAACAAAAAACAAAAACTGCGCATGCCAGGGACTAACTAGTTGTCGGCTGATAGCATGACAAACATCTGTGCGCTTTTTGCCTGTCTTGGGCTGGCTCAGCTCCATCGTGGATGGTATTGCACGCTTTCCGACAGTGCTGCCTCAGGCGGGCCGTGTAGGGTGTCGGGAATGTTATTTCTCGCCTTGCCGGTCTGCGCCTCTCTGGAGACCGGACCATTGACTATCGGATGTTCTGATTTTGCGGTCCAGAGCTTACGGAGTAGTCTTGTTATCGCTGTGACTGCTTGTCGCTACTCTTATTACTGCCACTTTAGCCCCTGAACTCTGTTGCTGATAGCATGAACGTTGGAACCTGCGGGGTTTTCGGGGATCGGGGTTGAGGGGTAGTTTCGGACACACGGAACATAGGGTGTCTAAGTCTAGTTAGGCTTTGGGCTGATAGGGCTCTTTGAGTTTAGGGGTTGAAAGGTTAGGCATATTCCCGAAACCTACACCAACTGCAGAAAGCGCGCCGCAAGAGGCGCTTCGGGCCGATCCAGCCAAGCTCCCTAGTAAGGCCTGCGACTACATGGGAGTTTCTGAAAATAAGGACCCTAATATAGTACCCTAAATAGTAGGATCCTTGTTGTAAGGACCCCAAAATAAGGCACCCCTAACTTTCGGAAAGTCTCACATTGAGAACAAACTAGGAGAAGGTGAAGCAGTGCTACTCCTGGGGATAGCTGGCCAGAGGTCGAGAGGACTGCGAAGAACGATACCTAGCGAGGTAACCCTAAACCCTAAACCCTAAACCGTGGCAAAACCGGCAGCAATCGCAGCAGCAACAGCAGCAGCAACAACGACAACAACAGCGACAGCAACAGCGCCAGCACTAGCGAAGTTGTTAACTCAAACATATACACCTAACAAGAAGCAGCTGTGGAAACGTTAATGACGACAACAACCGTCCTAGATACAGCACCCAAGAAACAACAAGAAGCTGGCTAACTCGATGAGCCCTGAACCATACATATTCTCGAAACCCTAAACCTTGCACCATAGAGCTTAAACCCTCTGCTTGTGACAGTCTTCGGGTAGTGTTCGGGACATGACAGTCGTTTCGAAGTGGGACTCGCAACAGGAATGCTAAAACTGGCCCATTGCGAACTCTTGAAAGGGATCACAGTTTGAAGAACGACCTCGTTGCCAGCTCGAGCTTCAGGCATGGGGGTTACGTGGTTATGGGGCTTTTCAGTGCTGTCTTTAACCGAAACTTGTGGGTGCAGGTACGCTAAGGTGTGCAGGGTTGAGGGATTCAGGGTCTAAGCTTTGCAGTTTGGGCTGTCGGAAAACTTGTGGAGCTCAGCATGCCCGGACTACCTCGAGTTGTCGCTTAAGCTTGCGACGTGAAAGCGATCACGAAGCCTTCTGGCGTGATGCGTCGCGGAGTCGGCCAGAAAAGCTGGCTTCTTTCCTCATGCAACCACCGTGATAATTTTTGCCAAAAGCCTTAAACCCTGAACCCCCCTCCAAAAAAAAACCTAAACCCCTAAGCCCTAAACCCCTAAACCCTAAACCCCTAAACCCTACAGCCCTACAGCCCTAAACCCCCAAAGCCCTAAGCACTCACGGGCGTGGGCATGAGCTCCAGATCTTCGAAATGCTTCAGAGAAGTTCGGAAGGTACTGCGTAAGAAACATATGCGGGTTTAGGGTTTGGGGTTCCCTAAACCCTATAGACCCCATGGCCCCTACACCCCTAAACCCCTAAACCCAAAATCCGAGGGTAAAGGCTAGCAAGAGGAAGGACTCGACTTGGCCCCCGTAGCAACAACTGATGTAGTCACAGAAGTACTGCTACTCCGGATTTAGGGTTTGGGGTTTCTCCTACTACTAAAGCAAAAGCAAACACAATGTTACCACCATTGGCAGTGACAGTGCAATCATCTGCAAAGGAACGGTAGTGCAGAAGTGGCATTGAAGTTTCTGAAGATGCGGAGACAATTCGACCAGCCATAGCCACTCTTCAGTGCATTCGATGATAGTTGGAAGCAATGCAATAACAACGATCAAACAAGGCAAGCCATGGCTGTGGACTACTTAAGGTTCATGGGTAGCTATAAGTGGGGTTATGAGTAAGGCAACTATACTTATAACTCATATCAGGGGGCTTAATTATTTCTACCAGCTTTTCTTCGGACTCCACGCCCCGAGCAAAGGAAGTGAAGTACGAGGGAGGAAGCCTCCACTAAAGCCTCGAGAGCAATATAGGGGCCTTAATAATTAGAGTAGGGTTCCTTTAACGGGTTCCTTAAAGGGGTCTATAAGGGATCTGTAGTGGGGTTCTATGATATAGCGGCCTTAACAAATAGAATAGGGTTCGCGGGCCCATTCTACTGTAATTATAATGAGGAACCCCAAAAATAGATTGGGAATTGTTGAGGCCCCTATAGCAGACTGGTTTAAGTTCCCGCAGTTAGGGCTAAGGGCTAAGGGTTATGTTTAGGGCTTGCGGTTTACGGTTCACGGATCATGAAACCTTACAGCCTTGCAGCCTTCATTCTAGCCTTCAGGAGGCAGCTACTTCGACATGACCTTGAAGCCAAATGCCCACTCCAAACCCTAAACCTTGATAATACTAAACCCTCATCCAGCTATTAAGGCCCCCATACTGCGCGGTGCGACGAGTCGGCTAAGTAGCTTCTTCAGGATACGCCTCCTCGCCCCACGCCTCCTCGCCCCACTCTTCGCCCTCCTTTCGAAGTCGGACTTGGGTTCAAGATTCAGGGTTGTGGGTTTCGGGTGCTCTGTTTGGCTTGCCTCATATGCACTATGATTTTAATATCAAGCCTCCTGTTGCCGTTCTGCCTTCAAAGGCGACTAGCTCCAGAGGAATGAGGAGAGTACCTCGCACTGTTGTCATCAGAAAGGATGCTCTGTCATGCTATCTCCACTTCATTCCTTCAGCCCTGCATGCACACCGGTCCATGCTAGACTGGTTGAGATTAAGTAACTGTGCCTTAGAGGAACCATTCTGAACGAGCATTACTCGACATCCAGATTCCAGCGGTTCAAGCCCGGATTTCGGATTTATGATTGGGGTTGCGACCCAGGGCCTTAAAAAACCCTGTAAACCCTACACTAAACCCTACACCCCGAACCCTAAACCCTGAACCCACACAAACGCAGGGACTCTCCGGTCGGCCTCGGGCGCACCTTCTTCCATGCTCTTTTTCTGCTCGTCGCCCTTTTTGAGCTTTCCTGCCAGGGTAAGGCCAGGGTTTAGGGTTTAGGGTATAGGCCCTAAACCCTGAACCCTGAACCCTAAACCCTAAACCCGGTTTAGGGTTTCGGGTTTAGGGTTTAACAGGTCGGCCTTTAACAAGCCCTCAACCTGCGCGACGACTGAACATGATTGTCCTCTCTCGTTTGCTGCATACATGCCTACGTACATGCCTGCGTACATACATATGCCAGCATGCTTATGTGCATGTACGTACACGAATACATATGCATGCATCCATCCGCTGTTAAGCAGAAACCAACGCATGACTCATTGGCCTAATATAGGGGCCTTAACCGTTAGAATATGGTTTTGGGGCCCATTATCCCATAATCGTCTTAATGAGCCCCCAAAATAGTATAGGTAACAAACGAGGCCCCTATATTATACTGAAAAAGAAGCAGCCGGTTATGTGCCGGGTCACCGCAAACAGCATCACCATTCTCATTGCGACTGCTGTAGCCGCAGACATCAACATCTCAGCATCACCATCGGCCGTCATCATCGGTCAGGGTTTTGGGTTTAGGACTACAGCCCCCATCATTAACATTGCGAGTGTCGCGGCGGCATCAGCATCACCAATATCAGCAGCATCAGCCGCCGTCATCTTCAGCATCAGTACCAACATTGCTACAGTGTATCCTGACAGTCAGCAAAGACAGATCGTGATCTTCAACACCATTTCAATCAGCATCACAGCCATCATCAACATCGTCGTTACCTTCGTCATGCTGATCTTGAATACTGCATACTCCATAAGTCATATTTGCCCTCTCTCTGGGCCCATCCTTGGCCCCACACCTCTCCGAAAGGGAGTCGAGAATGAAAACTGCAAGCCTAAGGTCCACAGGCTTCAGGAACCAAGGACCCTGAACCCTAAACCTGAAAAAGAGCCCAAGAAACCTCGTCAAAAAAACTGAGCAGGCCGGGAAATTACACGTGGAACTGGAAAGCACACATCACAAGCCGCGGCCTGCGACTACAGCATAGACAGTGCAGGCGGATATGAGGTTGAAGAGGATAAGGCCACCCACCATTCCTCAGAATTAGGCTCAGCCAACAAGACTCTTTTTGTGGGGATTTAGCGTTGAGGATTCTTATAAAGCACAATACAACCCGTCATTCAACAAAAGATACAACAACATGAAACTCACGGCGGAAAACTGCCCGCAAAAAGCGCTCGCGTGCTCATTCAGGTAGAGGAATCAGGGATTGGAGTTTAGGATTCGCTGGCCGAATAAATACGTAAGTGCCTCAAATGCTGTCCCCCGCTTTAGGCCAACTTACTGCACGCCCGTTTTGCCAGAACTGTTTTGGTTTGGGTGCTTTTGCTTGCTGCATGGCTCAAAGCCCAAAATGGGATGCCGTTCTTCTGCAAGCAAACCCCCAACACCAAACCTAAACACTAAACCTCCAAACGGCCCGAAACACCCAGACACTAAAGTGCTCCGCAACCCTGCATTCTATCTTCGGGGAAACAGGGAACCCAACAAATTTCCTAGTTTTTTGGGGGGCCGGTTTCCCCGCGACAAAGCCCAGCTCTGAGATTTCGCAAGTTCAGGGCAGGAGGAGCTCGGGATTGAAGTTTGAGGGCTTAGGCTCCATTTGGGCTTGAGAGCCCTGAATCACTACGGTTGATGATATAAATCCTGCATGACCTTAAGGACCCTAAACTATGGGGAATTACGGTAAATTCTTTATCATGGGTAATGCAGGGTTTATAATTAGTTTATATCATCAACCGTATTTTTGGTCTTATTACCATTATCAGTACTACCATTACTACTATTGCCTTCGCCTCTTGTCTGGATTTGCGCCCTACCGTGAACCCTAAGCGGAATAATGACCCCAAGCTCTCAGCCCAGAACACTGCGCCCGGAACATTGCACATAATCCCTAAACCCGAGAAATTCAACACGGAAAACCTTACGTCCGTTTGAGCCCAGGCACCAACGGACGCAAGATTCTCCGGAGCTGGCTTCCTAGGCTTCTTTCTCTTGGAGCTGGCTTCCGAGGAGTTTCTGCAGATGGCTACCTAAAGTGCTTTATCTGAGTCCTGGCTTTGCAGAAGTATGCTCTTTTAGCTGGCTTCTGAGGAGAGGTTTTGAGGCAGAATTTGAGGGCTTGGGGGTTAAGGACTTAAGGTCCACGCTTTGGAGTTTGGCCTGACAGTTTGGGAGGACTGGGTTTCGAGATGAGGGGAGCAGTTCCTGTTGTGGGGGGCGGGGAAAGTTGAGTCATGAATCAACAGTGGCGTTGTCTTGCTATGGTCCAGAACTTGCTTGATCATCCCTGCTGTACATGGCACTTTGTTCTAAAGCAGACGCCAGAGAGCTGGAACATCCTTCTCCTCATGCTCTTAAGGAGAAGTATAGGGAATCCCACTAGTCATCCTGTTCTCTGTACTTCCTGGAGCTGCGATAAGGTTGAATGCGTTGGTAGCAAGTAAACCCTAAACCCTTAGAAGCCCAAAACCCTGAACCCAACCCTAATAAAGGCTAAACCCACCCAAAAAAAGCTAGACCCGAATGAACCCTAAACCCTAAACCCTTTTCCCAGAGACTCCAAAACCCCTTAATTAAGGAATATACCCTAAATGATAATAGGAACCCTAATATGATTCAAGGCATATTCCTGAATTAAGGGGTTTTGGAGGCTCTGGGTTCTGTCACGGGGGAGGACCAAAGCCTTCCTAACTTCCTCCCTAAACCCTAAACCCTAAACCTACACTTACGCAGCCTCCTGGAACCCGGGCTCCGGAGGGTTAGGGGTTTTTGTTCTTCTTTGCTGTTCAGAGTTTTGGGGTTTAGGGTTTAGGGAGTTCCGGGCATCTACGAAACACAGAGGACATAAGTGTGTGGGATTGATGGTTCACGGTGAAACAATCTAAGCCCAATCAACTTCAAGCCCCTACACCCCTAAACCCTAAACCCTAAACCCTACTAAACCCGCTACAGTAGGGTTTCCCAAGCTGCCGGGGCACATGTCCTGCATGGGCCCCTGCTCCCCTGGTGGTCCTTTCGCACCAGGCTCTCCTGGCGACAAAGCGGCGTTTACACAGCTGGGGGATCCTCATAGGGCTTAATAGAGGCGCCTGTACAATAAGAAAAAGATTTTGGGAGCTACTATACTATAATTATAATAAGGAGCCACAAAATTTTTGGAGGCCCCTATATTAGAGCTTCTAGCTTGAGACTTTTGGGGTTTTGCTCCAGGGCATGTAGGGTTGGGGTTACGGCATTAGACCGGGCAAACAACCCTAAAACCCTACGTGGAAAGATGGGGTCCTGAAAACTTGAGGGGGGGCGAGCTCCTCTTTGCGGGTCCTCAACACCAGGATTCCCTCATTACCCCCTGTCTTCGCACACACCTCGCAAGGTCTCATTGTTGTCCCAACCTTAAACCCTATAGCCCAAACCCTGAACCCCAAACCATAAACCCCAAACTCAACACCCCAAACTCTGAACCTTAAACTCTACCAACAAAAAACTGCGGAAACAACAGAAATCCATCGACATCTCCTCGCCCTGGCTGCCTGTTCAACTTAGGGTTTGGGTAAGGGTTAAGGGTTAGGGTTCAGAGTATAGGGCTTTGGGTTGAGGGTCTGGGTTTTAGGGTTAGGAATTTGGGGTTAGGCTTTAGGGCGTAGGGTTCAGGGTATAGGGCTTTGGGTTGAGAGTTTTGGGTTTAGTGACCCTGACGCAACCCCAAAAATTCACAGCCTCAACTCGCAAGCCTAGCCCCCGAACCCAAAACCGTCGGATGGGTTTACGTTCCAGGTTGTAGGGTTTAGGGTTATTTCGGGCTTAGGGTTTAGGGCTCAGGGTGTGCTTGGAAGGGGCGGGGGACTTAGTAACTGGTTATTTGAGGGACTTATAAGGACCATAACCCCAATTAGGGTCCCTTTTTAGGGTTTAGGGTTTAGGGTTTAGGGTTTACTGTAGGGTTTTAGGGTACTTATAAGTCTACTTCCCCGACCCTCCAAGCAGGGCTCAGGGTGTGGATTTACGACCCCTTCGTCTCCTTTGTCGCCTTTGGCGCCGGCTGTTCCGGCTCTGCCTCACCAGGGGGCTGTTGCAGGCCCTCCACTCAACAGTTGCTTGGGGATTGTAGGGTTTACGGCTTTAGGGCTGTAGGTTTTAGGGTTTAGGGTTGTAGTGATTTAGGGTGTTAGGTTGAAGTTCAGAGGCTTACATTTCTTGGTGTATGCTGTCCTGGCATCTGGGGGGGGATAGCTCTTGACTTGCTGGCTTCTTGTTTAATGTCTGTGTCTCACCAGTAACTTCGCAGCATAAAAATCATAGTCGTATTCATAATCCTGGTGTCAATAGTAACACTGATGATACTAGCATAATATTACTAGTAGTGAGGACAGTGATAATGCTGGCAATACAAGAATCCAATAGCACACTAATGGTAATGATAATGGTACTGGTAAGTAAGCAACCACTGTCGCAGCCGCCGCACAGTGGCAGTCGCAGTCGTCCTCTTGGCGGTAGCATTGGTATTTACTACTACTACTACTCGGGCTTTCGGATATGGGTTTAGCTAGTGGCTGCAGGGTTCAGGATTTAAGCCTTGGGGGGTTTTGGCGGTTTATTAGGCTCTAGAGCTTATATAAGGGGCATAACCTACTTGGAGGTTTTTGGGTAGTTGTAAGTAGGGTTACAAGTAGGGTAACTATACGTATAACCCTACTTATAACTACCCATGAACCTCCAAGTACCTTCATCCTGCCTGTTGCTTGGAGGGTCGGGGGACTTAGTAACTGGTTATTTGGGGGACTTATAAGTACCATAACCCCAATTAGCGTCCTTTTTTTAGGGTACTTATAAGTCTACGTACTACCTACTTACTAATCCCTGAACCCTAAACCCTAAACCCTATAGTACCCTTATGAAGCTCTTTAAAGGAACCCTTAGAATCCCCTTTAAAGGAGCACCTACTTACTAAGTCCCCCGACCCTCCAAATGACTTGAACATCCGGCGCGCCTGCGCCACCTGCCGGGCCCCTGTCGCCCTTGTCGCCCTTCGGTCCCGCAGGGCCACGGGTGATCTGCGAGGCCCCCCACCTGCAATTTAGGGTTTAGGGTTCTTTTTGTTTAAGTTAGGTTTAGGGTCCAGGGATTAGAGTTTAGGGTTCAGGGTTTAGGGTTCAGGTTTAGGGTTTAGGGTTCAGGGTTTAGGGTTTAGGGTTCAAGGTTTAGGGTTTAGGGTTTCGGGTTCAGGGTTTCGAGTTTAGGGCACGAAACCCTAAACCCTTGATTAGGAGTCTAAGCTTTAGGACTTGATCTTCCATTAGAAATCAACAGAGAAATGAGGACAGTACTGGAGAATAGGAACAGGTATGCGGTTGACTTGCTGCCCTCGTGTTTTGATGCTTCCGGAAACCCAGAAAATCCTATGGTTTACCAGACTTTGGTGTTTAGGGCTTCATCTTTGGAAAGGTTTGGGAATTACAGAACAGATGATGCATAATTGCAAAGAAGGACTGCACTGTGCTGCTCACGTGTGAACAAACACAAGCACGTCACAATGCCTGGGCCATGGCTGCTCTTTTCTGAGAAAAGAAAATCTTGGCAAGAGTGACAAAGTCCAAATTGAAGGCATCAAAGAACAGCAAAAACATCGGCACAACCGGCAATTCCAGCATGAAATGCGGACAAAAACGTACAAAACTTGAGTTTGGGACACGAGACGTGCACCAAAAACGCAAGCAAAATCAGCATAAACACTTCAAAAATACCCATAGCAAAAGCTGGTAGTACAACAATCAGAATACCCTGCTAGTCTTGCCACCTCAGATCTCCTCCAGAGCCCGTGGCATTGCCTGGCTAGAGGGTTTGGGGTTTAGGGTGTTAGGTTGAAGGGGCTGTTTAACCGAAACGACTTCCAAAATGTCTTGCCACCAAGTGCCTCCATCTCCGACAACTCCAAACTTGCTCAAAGAGTTTGGCAATGTTTTGACTTCTGTAAAATGCTTAGGCCCTTAACCCTTAATTCTCAAACCCTAGACACGTAGACTCACAAAGCCTGCACTATGGGCTCATCATACTTGCTTCCGTGTTCTGTTCTGACATAGTGACTATAAGGATTATATTAGGGCCCTATTATCTGCCTATTATGCCACTATTACAGGGGAGCTTGCAGTTTTTTTACGGAGGGGATGCAGAGCGTGCGGGCTCCGAAGTCTGGGACTGCGTGGGCTCGAACTACGGGGTCGGGACTTCGAGGGCCCTGCGGGTTAGGGAGCTCCGCTTTTGCCACTCTCTACTTTGCCCCCTAAATCCTACGGAAGTCGAAGTAATGAAGGCTACCTCACCCTGAACCCTAAACTCTCCGTCATCATGCTCTCCACATGAAGGTCTTGCAGTCAAGGCTTCATGCTCTGGGCCTGAGGATATATATATATATATATATTAGGGTATATGGCTTAGGCGCTTGGGGAGGGCCAGTTTCGGGCTCCAGGTGTCTTTTCGTTTCACCTGCGGTGAACTTTCACTCTCGCATGATCACGATCATCCCGAGGCTTACGGGTCTTTCCGCTTGCAGCCCTGGAGTGTGTGATATAGGGGCCTTAAGAATTAAAAGAGGGTTTTGGGTTATATTACACTATAACGAAAAAGGTATGGGTAATTGCTTAGGCCCCTCTATTGCTTCGAGGTTTGCGGCTCGGGGTTGAAGGACTGGGGTAAAGCCATCAGTACGACCCTAAAACCCTAGACCCCAAACCCCTGCACCCTAAACCCCAAACCCCAAATCCCTAAACTCGAAACCAGCTTTCCACCCCCAGCTTAGACTGCCCTTCAGCTCTAAGATCTAGAAGCTCTGAAGGACGCACATAAACTTCTCCTGGAGCTCATAGTCACTGTGACTGATATTGCAGTCATTGCCACGGTGTGGTATTGTTGTTCTGGCCGTTGCGTAGGAATAGGTTTCATTGCCCTCGGTTTCGAACCCAACATAAACGGATCCTGAAATCCTAGAACCAAGAAGCCTGTGTACAGCTAAAACCACGCCCCTACAACCCTAAACACCACGAACGTCCTGAACAAAAGCCTGAACAAGCGCACTTAGACCATCCCGAGCGGCCCCTTATACTTTAACATCCTGCTAAATAAACACACTGAACGCTAGCACCCGAAAGCCCTGCAACAGAAACTCCGAAAAATGGTTGCATGCCATGCAGCTGATCGCACGGTGCTCTTCGAGCACGAAGTCCCGAAGCACGGAGATCGGAATCTGTTTTAGGGTGTTGGGTTCCGGGGTTCAGGGTTTCAGGGTTTGGGTTCAGGGCTCATAGGTTTTAGGGTCAAGGGTTTGATTTGCTTTCGTCTTGGGCTTGGGGTAGTTTCTGCAAAGCTCGGAATGCTTTCGGGTCTTGGTGGTCTCGGGGCTTTCGGGGGGCTTGGGGTGTTTAGTCCATGGGTTTAGGGTTTAGGGGGGCTTAAATCCTTCACGCCTTTAGGAATGTTTGGGTCATTTCTCAAGCTGTCGATCGGGATGTGCAATAAGTCGGAACAACTAGCAATGACACCTTGTTCCTGTGGTTCTCTCTCTTTAGCTCCGATCCCAGAGTCTGGCCTCGCTTGGGTTTTGTTTTAGGGTTTAGGGTTTATGGAGGGTCTAGGGTTGTTGCAAGAACCGCAGTCCCTTTCGCGCACTTGGTTGGGGAGTTTACTGTTGAGGTGCCCCAAAAAATTGCGCAAAAATGAGCACTTATGGTTCCTTCCAAGCACACGCCTTATACACCCGTTGTAATCTTAACAGCCCCGAAACCCCCTTGCAAGCCCCTTATACAAGCCTTCTACAACCCTGAAGTCTCCATTTGCATAATGGCCTTGCAAAAATCTTCTGCTCCTGAAAAGGCTCTAGAAGGGCGCTGTAAGGGTATCAAGAAGGGTTCTGTGTGGGTTCGATAAGGGCTCCCTTGAGAGTAACAACAGGAGTCAGGCACAGCCCTCCAAAAACCCAGCTAACCCTGCACCCGGAATTCCTACGCTCAAGCAACAAGCCCCTCTTTATGAAAAGCGCCATTGCCTCAAACGACGGTCGTGATGCGCGGGCCTCCGCCAAAGATTATGCCCCTCTTCGAATCGGATCTTGAGATATGAGGGTCCCTTTTCAGGGGTCCCTTTACTAGAGGTGCTTGCTTTTCGGGTTTATTGGGTTCTGTTTTAGTATTCAGGCATGTTGTTTTTTATCAAGGCTTTCCGACTTAAGGAAGCTTTCACATTTTCAGCTTTGATTTAAGTCAAGGGCGCCGCGGCGCCTCGGCCTTGGCCTTATAAAGCTCCCTTAAAGGAACCCTGAAAGAAGCCCCTTAAAGGGAAAAACTGTGCTTTCAGGGCTGAGCTTGCTATCGCTGTTCCTTCGCTTTCATTCCTGAAACCTAAAACCCTACAGTTAGTTTAGGGTTTATGGAAGCCGAAGAACACCTAAACCCCAAAGCCCTAAATTTACACGCTGAACCGAAAACACGGACCTTAAACCCCAAACTTAAACCCTAAACCGCGACCGCTAGATCCTCTAGGGTTTAGGGTCTTAAGGTTTAGCTTAGGCTTAACCCTAAACCCTGTTACCCTGTTGTAACTCTAAGACCCTCAATCATGGACCTGGTGTCCGCTGTTCGGGTACCACTCGCTCGCGGGCTTTTCCGAGCTTTTCTCGCTTCTCCTGCGGTGTAAAAGGTTCTATGGGGTTGGACAGGGAGTTGGCACCGGTTCTGTAGGGGGAATAGTGCTCCTCAAACTCAGGGTTTTCTAGAGGTTTGGGGTTTAGATGAGTTTAGGGTTTCTGGGTTCACCTGGGTATCCATCGTAGTACCACATCCTTAGAGTGAATTCGCTACAGCCCAAGACGAATGCATCGGAATTTTAGGAAACCAGGGATTGCACTTGCGAACACAGAAGCTATGCCCTAAATCCGTAAAGAGGCAATGTGACGGCCTCAAGAACCGGGATGCTGTTCCTGAGGGTGCCTTCATGTAAACTACATAGTCCAATACACCCCAAATTCTCTCTATAATTTGCCCTAGGCCCCACACTCTCAACCCTACTTCCCAGACTCATGTGCAAATCGTTCGGGTTTTGGGCTCGATCACAGACGCATCAGGATAAGTACTATAGTTGGGATACTAGTCTATGACGTGTTTCGTTGAGATTTTATGTCCCTGTTTACCAAGTCCGCGACACGGTTTAGGGTTTAGGGTAAGCAGTGGCTTGGGCTTCGGAGAGACGGGTTTGGTGCGAAAGCTGTAAATAAAAACAACACACAGGTTACCGCATCATCGTGTTGAATCAATGCTGTATTTTGTGAATAGAACAAGATTTCATCCAACGTTCATGATGAAGTGTATCAATACTGCTGCCATGGCAGCCTCCAGAAAGCCCGTCCACCCGATTCCGTGCCTCATCATCTTCTTGTCCTCAAGCGGTTAGGGGTTTAGGCTTTAGGAGATAGGGTTTGTTGAGGGGTAGGGCTTACCACATGGGGTTTAGGCTAGGGTTTTGGATGTAGGGTTCTGGATTTTGCGTGTAGACTGAAGGTTTTGGCGTCTCCGTGTTTGGGGGGTAAGAAGAAGAACAGTTCTAATAGTGATATTCATACTGCCACGAATTACCAATACGACTGCTAGCATAGTCTTTCGGTCTTCGCGCCTTCAGGGTCTGTGCCTCTGATGTGACACCGGCGATCCCCCCCCTCCGGAATCCACTAGAGTTCGGGGCTTAGGGCCTTAGGCCCCAAAATATCTGGGGCTGTGACGGATCGACCCTAAACCCTAAACCCTAAACCAGAAAGCACTAAAACCCTAAAACCCTAAACCCTACACAAGTCGGCCTGCAAGCACTGACATCGCAACCAAACACCGCCGCCACCACCAGCAGCACCATGGTAAGGACCCTGATCCGCCCATCATCATCATCAACATCATCATCATCATCACCGTCATCGTCGTATTTTTCTTCCGTTTCTTCATCAACAACAACCTGAACATCAGCAAGAACAACGTCATCATCACCAGCGCCGGCGACATCGACATCAACATGATGGCGAATTGCAAGGCTCCGAGTATCACAACAAAACGGCAACTGCACTTGAAGATTGGGGGACTTAGCAAGTAGGTAGTAAGTAGACTTATAAGTACCCTAAAAGGGACCCGAATTGGGGTTATGGTACTTATAAGTCCCCAAAATTACCAGTTACTAAGCCCCCCGACCCTCCAAGCAACTGCAGAAAGCAGCATCGAGGCATCGAGTTGAAGCCATAGCCCAGCAATCCCCGAGTTTCCTCATCACGCATCTCAAACCTCTTCGGGCTTAGGATCTAGGGTCCGCTCACTGCGAATAAATCTGAACTTAGAACCCTGGCAAAAATGATAAGTTTAGCTGTTTCGGCTGTTTCTGAGGGATTATAATAACCAAAAATTAAAAATGAATCCTAAGTACCCCTAGTTCAAGGCGAGAGGCGGATTCCCAGTGGCTGGCAAGATCCGCTGCGTGAACGCCATGACCGTGGGGCCACCTCAAGGGTTTAGGGTTTACGGAGCTGTCTTATGGGCTTCACGGGGTTGCTACTTGGAGTTTCAGTGGGGTTTTAAGTCCCCTAATATGGGCTGCAAGTATAGTTACCCTACTTATAACCCCCCGTATAACTACCCATGAACATCCAAGTGCTGGTTTCTAAGGAGGGTTTTCTATAACGGTTCTACAAGGCTGCTTTTAGGACTCTGGGGCGCGGAGCTTTTAAGGCTTTTAGGGGTCTAGGATTTAGGGCCAAAGTTTACTTGGAGGGTCGGGCGACTTAGTAACTGCTTATTTTAGGGACATTAGGGTTCCTATTAGGGTACTTATAAGTCTACTTACTACCCACTTACTAAGTCCCCGACCCTCCAAGTAGGGTCTTCCGGTTTCACGGTTCTCTTCGGGCTTTGGGTTTGGGATTTCAGATTCCGAGGGTTCTCGATAGCTCCGACTCTGCTTGAGCACTTGGAGGGTCGGGGGACTTAGTAAGTAGGTAGTAAGTAGACTTATAAGTACTAAGCCCCTAAAACAATCAGTTACTAAGTTCCCCAACCCTCCAAGCATGCCCGCTTTTCGGTAAGGCATGAACCTTACAAACCCCAAGGAGAGCTGCTTGATCAAGAGCTGGGAAGTGCTACAGCTACACCCTAAACCCTAAACTCCAAAAACAAAACATCAAGAGCCCTACAGTAAACCCCAAAATGCAGAAAATGCTCAAACACAGTTAAAATCCTGAAAGTCTGAGAGTAGTTCAAAGCTCAGGGTTTCAAGGTCATGACTTTCTTCAAATCACAAGCCCCTGCTTCCACAACGCTGGGATCTGTGGGGCCTTCCAGAGCTTCTGGTTTGGGGTCCTCAACCCTACAGCCTGAACCTTGAACCCTAAACCCTTAACTGGTTTGGGGCCCGAGGGAGGTTAACAGCTCAGAACCATTCAAAGAGATGTAATAACAAATTTTCGTTTACCCTAAACCCTAAACCCTAAACCCTGACCTATATGTTCGAACTTCGAAAAGATGCAAAGGATCCCTTCAGGTGCAGGGGCCCGAACCTCGTTAGATCGCCGGCGCCGTCAATGGACACCCACGACTGTCTTTGTTGGGCTTGAGAGGCTTAGGGGTTTATGGGTTTAGGGTTTTGGGTTTACGGGTCTCGGAGTTCAGAGTTTAGGGTTTAGGGTTGCGGGTCGAGACTTCAGGATTCAAAGCGCGCCGCTGGTAGTTGTAGTCAGTATCGACCCATACTCGTGAGACTGGTAGCTGCTTGGTTTATCATGACTGTCGTGCACAGCACGGTTGCCACCCGTACGTCATCAAGAAACAAGACGAACGGCATGCACATCGCAGATATACACTAGCCACGTGGCAAACTTCTCGAAGCATGGTCCTGGTCAGCGTAGCAATAGCAATACTGGCAGCAGCAACGGCGAGAATCGGTTCTAAGCGGCATCGCGAACATCTGCAAAGGCTGATAAAACCCCAAAACCATTCAGACCCTAAATCCCTAAACCCGAAACCATCCTAAACCATCCTAAACCATCCTAAACCATCCTAAACCCCTAAACCCCTCAACCCCTAAATCCCTAAACCCCCTAAACCCCCTAAACCCCCTCAACCCCTAAACCCGCTCAGAAAACCCCAAAGAGCCTCCTGGCTGCTGACCTCAACGGCCACGCCCGGTGCCGCAAGGGCCCAGGCCCACCAGGCGGCACGAACCCAGCGCATGGCCTTTTGTTAGGGTTCAGGGTTTAGGGTTCAGGGTTTAGGGTTTAGGGTTTAAGGTTTAGGGCATATAGGGTTTAGGGTTTAGGGTGAAGGGTTGTAGGTTTAGGGGTTGGGGTTTGGGGATCAGGGTTTAAAGTTTTTGGTGTATGATTTAGGGTTTGGGGGTTGGGTTTAGGGTTTGGGGGTTGGGGGTTGGGGTTTAGGGTTTCGGGTTCAGTGTCCGGGGACATGTAAGAGACGAAAGCACGCAGCTTCCCAATGTCCAGTGCGCCTGGCTGTTGCTCGCTTGCGACGCGGCGCCCCGCGCACAGCATTTGCTTCGAAACGTTACGGTGCGGTCTGGCCGCTCGTTGAAGGCCCGATCGGCGACCAAGGACCCGGCTGGCGAGGAAGACGACTGGGCTGCTGCTCGCCAGGTCGCGTATTTGCCGTCCCTAGGAGGCCTCGGTCTAGTTATCGCAGCCAATTGGGCGGCGTGGGCAGATGCGGTCCCAGTGTTGCGCCAAGGTCAGCCCGACGGCTAGGCTCTTGATGGCGAACCGGCGTCGCCTTGCCTGCGTGAAAAGGCACAGATCAGCAACGTTTCTTCGCTGTTAAGCGCGTAAATGATGTTGCCAAACCCTGCACCCAAAACCGAAACCCTAAACCCTAATCCATGAACTTTCGCTCTTGCGGCGTCTCAGGTAGAAAAACAACAGCTCTTAGAGACTTGAAGCTTGTGGGCTCTGGGGATGGAGAATCAGTTTGTACCGGCTCCCTTTGGGGATGGTTTAGGGTTCCCTAAACCCTAAACCCTCCTCTAAGGGTTCCTTATAAGGGTTCGAAAGAGGCTTCATAGAGTTCTGGCTCCGGAATCGGCCTTTCACACGCTCGGTGCGCAGCGTGAAGAATGACCAAAGACTCGGGCAATCAGGATTGCTACTCTAATCACAACTGTGCCTGGTTCCGATCATCAATTTAACTGCTATTGGCTGCTGATGTGAGTCGCCAGTACTATGCTGCTATTTAACTACTGCCGGTCATACGGTCATTCATGTCCATGTGACCGTTTCAGCTGGTGCTACTTCCTTTATGACTGTTAGTACTTCAGAGGGTTGGCATTTAAACACCCTGAAAAATATCTATATATATATATATATATATATATCTATATATATATATATATATGGTCCCTTATAAACCCAAATAATGAAAATAAAAAATGTCCCAAAACCCAACCTAGTTCATTTCACCCCAAACTCCAAATGTGACAGCCTACACAAAGCACGCCAAAGCCGAGATCTTCCACCCTAAACCCGCACCCCTCAAGCATGGTTGGTGATATGAATCCTGCATTACCCGTAGTAGGGAATATGACCCGTAATAGGGACTATACCACATTTCCCATAGTTTAGGGTCCTTATGGTAGTGCTGGATTTATATCCTCAATAGTATGAGGCAGTCCTCTTCGTCCAGCGCTGTTGCGAGGTCGACGGTTATATGTAGAGACCCGGACTCCTCAGCAGGGCTTTCAATGCGGTATTGTGGTTTTATACGGGCGCTAAACCCTAAACCCCCAAACCCTGAATCCTACACCCCCAAACGGCAAACCCCTAAACCCCTAAACCCTAAACCCCCAAAGCCTGAATCCTACACCCCCAAACGCCAAACCCCTAAACCCGAAAACATGGGTCCGAGAAATCTGTGGTATGACGGAGCCATGAGTCGCCTCATACAAGTATGTTTCACTAAGGTTGAAGGGCTTAGGGGTTCAGGGGTTTAGGGGTTTCGGGGTTTCGGGGTTTTAAGGGTTTGGGGGTAGAGGTTTTGGGGTTTAGGGGTTCAGGGTTTAGGGGTTCACTCCCAACCCGTATCTACTGCTTGAAAGAAGAGAACGAACAGACATTCCAGCTGTTGGGCTCCCTTAGAGCCACAAACCTAAACGTCCAAGCCCCCAAGACCCTGACACCCCCTAACGCAAAAAAACACAAAAGGCTGTATTTAGCTGAACCCCTGAAGCTTGGAGGAACCCTGGCCCAAAACAAAACTAAAGCCCTCAACCCTAAACCCCTAACTAAACCCCCAAACTCCTAAACCCTAACCCTCAAAACCCAAAAACCGTAATCCCTAAACCTTAAAACCCAAAAACCGTAAACCCTAAACCTTAAAACCCTAACACCCAAAGCCCTCCTTTAAAGTGCGACTCCGGGCGTCTCTCCGAAGGGTTGGGACAACTCGGAAGAGTGCCCGGGTGAAGGCAGCCTCGTGGTCTTGTCCAAAAGAGCTTGTTTTGGGGTAGCACTTGGAGGGTCGGGGGACTTAGTAACTGGTTATTTTAATTTTCGGGACTTACAAGTACCATAGCCCCAATTAGGGTCCCTTTTGGGGTACTTATAAGTCTACTTACTACCTACTTACTAAGTCCCCCGACCCTCCAAGCAGGGTTTAGGGTTTAGGGTGTAGGGTTTAAGGTTGAGGGTTTTGGGCTTCATGGCTTCGGCTTCAGGGTTTTGGGCTTGGGGTTTAGGGTTTTAGGCTTCATGCCTTCAGGGTTTAGGGTTTAGGGTTTAGGGTTTAGGGTACAGGCTCAGGGTTTCGGGATTTGTGTTTTCAGAGTCTAGGGTAGTTTAGGGTCCAGGGGTTTGCCTGAGGGCTTTCGCACGGTCCGCAACGCGACATGTCGCCTAAAGGGCGCTAAGTCCAGAAGTTTAGCCCGAAACCCCAAATGGGATTTCGCATGCAATATCAGGGCCTTAATAATTAGAACAAGGTTTTGGGCCCCATGACACTATAACTTAATTATTAAGGCCCCTATAGCACGCTTCAAAGAACCGTGGATACAAGTGCCGAGGATACTGCCCAAAACGCTGGGAGCCAAGAGTAAAAAACAAAATTGCTTTGAGAGTATAGGGTTTAGGGTTTAGGCTTACCTAAACCCTAAACCCTCAAACCGGAGTTTAAGCCGCGGGCTTCAACTCCTAAAGTAAGCAGGGATTCCTCATGAAGCCAGCAAAGAAACATAAATTTAAATACTAACAACTGGAGCGTTAAGTTTCTACACGACATCCCAGCACCCCGCTCCGACCAAAACAACCCACAAGAAAAGCACCGGCTCCAATTCGGGGAGTGCAGGGAACTCCAAACCATATGCACCTCAAACTCCCTGAACCCTAAACCCTGGACCCTACATTGCAAGCCCTGCGACCACGAGCCCTCAAACTGCAGGCCAAGTCACTGGGTTTAGGAACTTGACAAGCCGTCTTTAACGAAAGACGCTGTTGAGCCGAAGCACGCCAGTTGCAATGCGGGCATTGGTTAGCGGGGGAGTAGTCGCTACATGCTCATATTATTGCTGCAACCTAGCCCAATACCTCAGCAAACTAAATAAGGGTTGAGGGTGCTTGATTGAACGTAGCCCCCAAACCCAATTTTAAACATGAAGACAGCAGTTCCAACCGCTAAGGCCACAGAACAGTACCGGGCCGCACGGCTTAAGACTTCGAGTTGCGCAAGCCCCAAACTCGGAGGGTGACACACCGGATGGGTAGTTGTCAGATTTAGGTGCCCTTTTCTGTTTGGGTACCCTAAGTAGTAGCTGCCGTCATATATTAGGGACCCAAAAAGGAACCATAATTTCGACAACCACCCATATAAATCACCTCTCAACGAAGCCCAACACGAGGGCCTTAGAGGATTGAAGGGCAGAGCACAAGCGAAGTCGTGCGGACGCTTCCAAACTGGACCACCCCTGCCAACATGCCTTGCCAGCCTCACGGCCACGATCACCACTACTTGCAACCACGACCAACATTATCATCATCATCATCACCAAGGTCACAGTCACCATCAGAGTCCTCATCAGCGTCATCATCATCCGTCCCATCATCATCACCATCATCATCATGCTCGCAACCACAACAATCACAACATCTTGTTTTTCATCTTCATCATCATCGGCTACTACATCTTGCGAAGAGGGAACCTGAGTCCAAGACACGGACAACGTGCCCGGCATTCGCCGTAGGCCGTGGGACAGAAGCGAGTCGAGACGTGGCATGTCGCTTCGGATGAACAAAACGAGTCCCTTATGAATCACATGCATACTTGCAACAAGCTTACCCGTATGACCAACATGAACAGCACGTACAAAATTACAAGTATTACCTAGCCCCGGGGATCCTCGTTTGAATGTCCTTGCGCACCCAAGCACTGGAGACTTCTCAGAGACTCCAATATCCCTTAGTTAAGGAATATACCTTAAATCATAATAGGATCCCTAATATGATTTAAGGAATATTCCTTAATTAAGGGATATTGGAGTCTCTGGGTTCTCCACAAACTGTCCTGCGCTTGATGCAACGACGTGGGACATCAAACAGGCTCATCTGCCCGGCCGTCCCGGCTTCCTACAGGGGCCTACACGACCCGAATAGGCTGTGACTTTCCCTTTGGTTTTTGCTGGGGGCCGGGGGAGGGCGGTAACATCATAGGCAAAGCATCTGAAAATTGTAGACAAGCACGGTTCAGACTCACTGGGTTTAGGCATCGTCATTTTTCTTCAGAGAAGTTTCCCGAATGTAGAACCCTAGATAGCAGGATCCTGAAACACAAAACCCTAAGCTCTAAACCCCTCAATCTTGGTGGACTTCGCCCCGGCTTTCAGATACTCCGCAAGGCTCACAGGCTGTGGGTCGAAGAAATATTTCAAAGGATCATTTAGGGTTTAGGGTTTCGGGATCATTTGACTTAGTCACCAGGTTTGTAAATATTGCAACCATACTCATGAATACTTATTGCCCCAATGATTGCAGTCATACCTTACTTACTAGGTTCGATGATACGCCAAGTACCCCTTGCAGGGGTCTGAACAAGTAGCGAGACCATTCCCTTCACAGGCTCGGACCTCAAACCCTCATGCTGCTGATACTTAACACCCCCCTACTGCCCTAATGTAGAAACCTGATTAAGAAACCCTGAATTCTACTATGTTGGGGTTATACGGCCGGGGTTTCTTAATCAAG